TAACCTTTGTCCAAATGCTCTAAGCATCAACATTAAATCCAAAATCCTATCTAAATAATCATCATGATAATTACCAACTGTCACAGTGGGAGTGTAGTTATTTAACACAGAAATACAATTATAATGAAATTATCAGTTTTCTTGTCTTTAGGCACCTTGTCCTGAAAGAACAAGATAAGGACAGTGTAGAAATACAGGTAGATTTAGACAAAACACTGGCAGCAAATTGACTAGATATTTATCACATTGACAAATTAGCTTTGTGCCCATACAAAAGTAAGTGTTTGGTTTAATAACTGGGAGCTGAACCCTAGCCCTCCCTGTTGACCCATAAAACTGTTTTTCACAGGCAATTTGAGAAGTAGTAAAATTAATTGTAATACTAATATGCTACTACTAATCCTAGGTCTCTTAGGATGTTTTGTTGCTTTATTATTTATAAAATGCCACATAGAAAGCTCGGGAAACTGGAGAGTGTCTTACTCACACCTTCCTATGTCTCTATCTATGTTGAAAAAGCCTTTACATGTGCACGCAGCACCCAACGCACCAAGGTGAGCACACAGGTGAGTCCATTGTCCTGTAGGGAGTGTGATGAGAGACAGAATGGGGGCTAGCAGTGAGGAACCAAAGAAAAATTTTCAGGATCCTTAAAGTAGAGAACTTTCAACTTGCCTAAAATTTCAGTCTTTGGGAAGATGTTCACTGACTTTATATAGAGAGAGTAGATATGGAAAGTGAACCTAGAGCCCTTTCTGATTCATTCATTTTCATTGTATAGAGAGAAAATAATGTAAACTGTTCAAAAATACAGAGGATAGTTCTATGCAAAGCCAAGGAGCGATAAAATGTCCTGGTTTTGTTTTGATCTCGATCTTGGGCTGTTTCCTGGTTTTCTGGAACTAGCTGCTCTATGGCCTGCAGATGAGTAAATACTTCTGGCAGCTCGATATGTCTACGTGGCTCAAGTATTCATATTATTAAAGATATTTTATACATAAAATATGAATGCAATTATATGTAACTACCCATAGTTGCAAATGTGTACATATATGATGTTAATTGTAAGTATACAAATATATACACATGTTTAAAATCCCTTGTAAATACCAATATGTAAAGGAGATATGTCTATATGCCCCTTCATCTTGCTAGTGAACCTGAGTGGACTATGAAGCCCCTGGGATCGGGGATGCACACTTCTCTGTGTGTCTGCAGGGGTCAGAGGCCTGACTGGAGATTTATGCCATGGGACTTAGGACTTGTGTATGTGACATATGGCTCCTGGCCCATTCCTTTCTTGTGCTGTTCCCAGGCTCTGCTTGCTAGTTGCCATGAACTGGGCAGCTTTATTATTCCACACCTTTCTACCATAATGACCCTGCCTTACAGCCAGCAGACCACAAATTAAATTTGCTAAGTGAGGAGCCAAGTTTAGTCTCTCTTAGTCACAGGTGTCGGGTACTGTGTCCTGGGATAGGAGAAGTGACCGATGCAATGCAACCTTAGAAGGAGTGATTCCCCCATGTCCCCTCATTTGTCCTCTCCTTTCTGTCCCTTCCTCCCTATGAATATATTTACATGTACAGTTATATACAGAGTTTTTATTATAAAACAGATTAATAAGTTGCCAATCTTATATTAATCAATTTTAAAATTTTGATTATGTAAATATTGTATTTTAACAATGAATGATCATAGAACCGTTGTATTTGTTATTACTTGGTACATACAAGAAAACATGATAGTAGTATATTTAAGACTAAATAACGGAAATATTTAGCTAACCATCATATTCATCTTTAATAGTTTCATATAATGATATACAATAACAATGAGACCTGTTTCTAAGTAATGAACTAAATTTATAAACTATCAAAGATAAATTATGAGCTCAGAAATGAAGAATAAACTGAGTCTTTCAAATTGGTGTTTATAGATACATTCATCTCTATATGAAACCACGACAAAGATTTTCTGTTTTGTTTTCCCTCTGCCTTGTGACTTTGCGTAATTAAGTCTACTGAAATAAACTGGCGAGACATAGATCATCAGGAAAAAAATCATCTTAACTATGTGAAAGTATGTGGAGTATTGCAGAAGAATATGAGTCTGAAAAGAGAGGTCTCACTTTTTAGAGGACTAATTAGGGGCTTCAGGTTTCTGGGAGGTGGTGACCAGTCTTTAGAGGGAAAGAAGAGGGAGCAGCTGATGAACAAAGGCCATTGTCCTATTTCAAATAACTTTGCCTTGGCGGCAGCTCCATAAATTAAATGGCATATTTAGTATAAATGTATAGAGACTCAGTCTTGTTTTCTATGAGTTGATCTTCCTTTCTTAACAGAATTTCAAGTAGGAAGTACAAGGCAGTTGCATTTATTTTGGAAGAACTTCCTGCAGTTGTTTAAGGGATCTTTAGAGTGAGCAACTTTCTGTGCTTGAGGAGAAGTAAGAGGTCAAAGAGATCATGTATCTGAGGCAGCTTCTAAGGACTCACAATTTCCTTTAATTCAAAGAACTGAGCAGATCAAAGAACCAAACTTTAGGGTGTGAGCTGTGTTCTGAGGCCCAACAAGTACTGCTCTTATCCCAGGTTTATGCCACTGTTATCCGTTTGATTTTAGAAAAATATATAACAAATACGCACAGAGATAAAACCATTATTGTTATAATTATTTTAAACATTTCTGCCAAAAGGTGACCTTTGGAACAACAAATCACTTTGTCTCCACCATAAAATAAATATTTCTGAGATGTATACATTCTTCAGATGTATTTCAATTTGACAATGCAAAAGGAAGGCAGGGCTAGGTGGATTCTTTTGAGTGCTTCTGGAAAATGCCCTTCAGATCATTATTTTTATGCTAACACATCATAAGGCAATATATATTAAAGTTACCCATAGTTTTTAACATAGATTTCATATTTTAACCATTGTATGACATTTTTTAAAATCTCAGAATATCTTCACAAATTATAAGTTTTTAAAAAATTTTGTTATTTCCATATTTGGCTAATATAGTTTATTGAACTAGTACAAGGCAATTGATTTATTTTTGGTAGAGTTGGTGTTAGAAATTAAATTTTCTGTCTTGGATATATTTGTATTTAATCAGTTATGTATTTTCCAAGATGTCTTGAACCACTAAATCAACGTGGTTCTCCAATTTTCATAAAATACTGTAAATATCCCTTGAATTTATAATTTAAAAGTGTGGAATAACACCCAATCCTTTTCATTTCTGACAGGTTCCCAGTGTAAGACCTAACTGAACTAAAGTAAGTCCATGTTGGATGAGTAATGGCGCCACAGGCCATTTTGTACCACTGCCCATTGTAGTTGCATCCCTACCTTTGCTTAGGAATGTAAAACCGCATAACTTTGTAATCTAAATACTAGTCTCAACTATGATTAATGTGAATTAGCAGGTGAACATTTAGTAGTTCTGGGTAAATAGATAAAGATTGTTTCACTCTTTGTCTTGCCCAGAAGGAATGTTTTGAAAACCTTGGGACATTCTGTAAGCATCTTGAGTAGATCCCCACCCTGCCTATCCCCTTATAAAAAGGACTTCGGCCCCTGAGCTGGTGCCTCTCTGAGCTGCTTGGCTCCGGGAGTGCTGTCTGGCCAGACTAGTAAAGGTCTGTTCCCTTTCCAATGTGTCCAGTGTGTTCCTTCCTGGGTGAATCCTGGACTGTCCAGCTCTTCAGAGCAGTAAAGTCTAGCTCTTTGGAGTGGTAGAATTGAACGCCTCGGAGTGGTAGTAAGGCCCTTGGTCTTACATTTTGGAAGCCCTTGGTGGCTGCTGAGCTCCTTTGAGTGGTAGTAAGGCCTTAGGTCTTACACCAGTAATTCTGATAGTGAAGTCCAGGCTCTGAGATCCTCCTTCTAAGGACAGTTGCAGAAAATAACCACTAAGTGTTTTTCAATTTTAGCCCCTGAGCCAAAACCAACAGTTACTTGGAGACCTACAAATGCAAATTTGTGTCCCACCCAACTCCCACCAAACAATGTCTGCTTTAGCAAATCTGTCATAGGGTATCATGCACTCTCATGCTGGTGGAGCACTGACCTAGCTCAGATTTAAATAACCAGGTTTCCTATTGGCCCAGGAACATGTCATCTTTCCTTCTTGTTAATAAACATAACATGAATTATCTATCATCACCAGATTATTGTGACACTGAATTAAAAACTATAATAAGACAGGCAGGGGTGGGCCCTCAACACAGAAGACACATTTACTGAAGTCCAGGATTCAAGAAAAAGAGGAATTACTACACCCACATGCTTCCCTGAGAACAAACAGCAGTAATTGATATTCTAAATAGGAATCAATCACCATGGGTGGGGTCCAAAACTTTCCCAGCCCAGCATTCCCTGAATTCCTACTTGCTATTACATGACTAGCTTCCCCATTTAATCCCATTTAATTTGATCCCATTTAATCAATATTACCTAAGCAACTATACTTACAATCCTACTGGTTGATCATAGTTTTGTGCCTCTGTGTGATTTCCCATTGGATCAGTATTACTTGTAATCTTGTGAGTTGACTGTAGTTTTGTTCCACCTTGTGCTCAGGTCACCTCTTGGCTTTCAACATCTTGTGACTTTGCTCACCCCCTTAGAGAAGTGGGGTTTGGCAGACAACTCACTTTCTGTCTCTCTTAGACAGAAGCTGTCTTCAGTAAATTCTCCCTACTCTTTGAACTCAATAAATTCTTCCTTTTCTTCTTATTCCAGTGTTCCTAGAACTCTTTCTTCCATTTTAGAGAACACAAACTTGGCGTGTGCAGACATCTAGTAGGTTGGGAGTTATAATATTCCCCTTATATCATTTGGATTATTTGGAGGTCATAAAACCCATAAATTGTACATCCTATATCAAGATGGGATCTCAGTTTCCCAAAGCTCTTCAAATAGGTTTTTTACTATCATCACAAAGAAAGTTTCAGAACTCAGTAGTGAGAGGTTTAAACAGAGTTTATTAGGCAGAGTTCAAAAAGTGTGGAGTGTGGGCAGTGAAGAGGCTCCTGGCTGTATGGGGTTGGCGATAGCGAGCGTTCTTCCAGATATCTGCGAAGCTGGGTAATCTAAGCTGTTTTGCATAAAAACATTATTTGAATCTAGTTCTAAACTCTAGTTGATGTCCCTTACCTTATGGATTAGATTAATTTATGGATTTAGCATATCTGTAAGAGATTTGAGTGTGATAGGCCTAGAAGGAAAAACAAAATATAGGCCTGGAGTAAAGATGAAGTACAAATATGTGTAACTTCGATAACTTTATGGCTGGAAGTTACAGTTTTCTTAAAAGCACGATTTTACTGTTAGATTTCCTTATCTATTTTCTATCTTTCTGTATTTCTTTTATCCTAACTCAATACCGTGATTGGACAGCCCAACAATATCTTCACCAGTTTATATATGCATAATAGAATTAATCACATTATTATTTAAAAATACATATCCCAATTGATAGCTCTTTTATTACAATCTAGATCCTCAAGATTATAGGTGAAAGGGCCGGGGACTTCACTCAGTGGTTCCACCGCCTACCTCGCAAGCTCAAGGACCCGAGTTTGATCCCTGGTACCAAAAAAAAGATTATAGGTGAAAGGTCAGAGATTTAATGCATGTAAAATTATATAAGTACACTGTCAAATGGGGTACTGTCTGAGTCGAACTTTACTAGAGGCTACCTAAGGGATTTACAGGACAGACGAGCTTCCAATGGCCTCGTGCAGAACGCGCTTGAGTCCTGTGCGTGCTGCAGTGCTAGAGCTCACTGCAGACTCCCAAGCAAAGCCTCATCAGGAAGTCAAACAGTCTGGGTGGGAAAGAGGAAGACTGAGCTGGAACCTGCCCTGGAACTCTGGAGACTGAGGTCCAAAGGCAACTGAGCTTTTGTGAAGAAGCAGAAGCAAGGCTTCCTTCTTGTTTCTCTTCATATTGGTTGGCGCCACCCACATCCAGGTGGGGTCTTCCTCCGCAGTAGGTCAATCAACCAGACACAGCCAGAACCTTGCTAAACTAATCCACTTGGCATTTCTGATTCGGGTTGACAGCACAACTGACTGTCACAGGTGCTCACTACTCACACTCGTGGATTTATTCATAAACTTAATGCATGTTCTCCAGTCACAGGAAAGTCACATTTCCAGAACTCAGTGTTAAAATGTGGCTTGTGGCTACCATATTAACAGGACCACCTGTATTTCTACTGACTAGCACGGTTTCCTAGACACATAAGGGAAGTACATTTATTTCTTTTCAAAACAAGCTCAGGTCATAGTCTTCAAAACATGTTGAGTCTGCTGCTATGGCAACTGTAAGGTATTTCTTGTAATTTTCCTTAGAAATATACTAAATATTTCTAAAGAACACAGTGTATAAATAACATTGCAATTGCTTTCTCACTTTCTTTGAGAGCACACACACACACTTATTGGGTACATTCACAGTTTTGTGCTTGAGGGTTATTATAATGTGACTTGTAATTTATCCACTGCTTTCTCTAAAGAGCTTGGTCCTTCGAGAGATAATTTCAAACTAATTCCAACTGTCTGGCTTTTATCTATCCCATCCCACTCTCGGTAGTGCTGCAATCAATACAAACAAGTCTAACTTCCTTGAACTTTCCAGGTTTCTTTTCACACTATTCTGTCATAATGGACTTTATTTGTTTGTTTGTTTGTTTGTTTGTTTGTTTTTTGTGCCACAGCCACTAGAGATGTAGGGGAAAAATCAAATGTTTCATATGTCAAAAATCACTTTTCACTTTGATGGAATAGAAAGAACCAGAATCCCAGGACTAAGATATGTGGAGGATGTTGCGTTAAGAGAGATTCTGGTGGATTCCTGTGTTTAAATGAACCCCAATAAAGCACCTATTTCTGGAATCATAGGAAGTAGCCAAATACTCACTTGTCAAAATTCCTCCCAGGAGGCAGCTGCATCATTCTTCAAAGATAGAGATTCTTGAAGCACATGTCACTGAGATCCATTTTTCACCGGAGTAGAATCCCCAAACCAAAGAAGTTTGGTGGCAAATTCCTTTGGTGGCAAAACTTAAATTGAACCAACAGGAGGGAGGGTTATTTTGTGTGTGTGTGCTATTGAGAAATATATTGTCTTACTTTGGGGGAAAAGCAAGTAAGAATGCTCTCTTTGTTGTTTACACTAAGAAACAGAAATCACACCTGAACTCAGCTGCCCTGCTCCGGAGCTGGCATCAAGTTGGACAGTGCCATCATCTGTGGCTCTCAGTGGCTCTGCCAGAGCTCCCTACCCCTGAACAAATCACTTTGACCAACTGCCCTCCCCACTAGACCTGGGCTACCTTGAGCACCAGGAGACCAAGGAGGCGGGCATAGGGCTTCCCACTCTGCAGCTGTTCTGACTCCCAGCAGACCTGCCCAGAGGCCTTGGTGCCTGGCCAGGTAGCCTAAGGGAGCAAAACTGAAGGCTCCGGAGAAACAGAAGAATGGCACCGCCCTGGACCCGAAGCTCAGTAAGATACCAATACTGCCCTCAGGCCTGGATCTCACATGAATGAACATCTCTTTCCGGTGACACCTTGCTCTGTCTGGAAGACAGAGGCTGATTCTGTTACAAGTCAGGACCTGAGTTCTGCATCTGAAAAGGTAAAAACTGGACTAGATGACCATTTTGTCAAAATCTCTCTGATGGATCTGGCACCTGCAACAGGTCACGGAGAATCATGCATACTGACACCTCCCCTTTGAGGCCTTTGCTCCCAGTGCCTCTCCCCTTCTTCCACCTCCTCCAGTCTTTCAGGACTCATTTAGAAGTCCAGGAAGACTTCCCCATGGACTGACCAAGAGTTCAGTGAAGAGACTGGGTTAGAGGGTGGGAAATCACAATGTGGTCTGGATGAACTGAAGCATAAGCAGTGAGACTTGTCAGATGGTAACATTAAGAGGTTTAATTACACAAGATTGCCTCAACTCCTGCTGAGAATACTTATGTGAGAACTTTTCAGTACATGTTGCTTTATTTGGTTCACAGATAACGATAATATTAGAAGGTAATGATAGCGATCGTACGCCATTCAATAAGTTCAGTATATCATGATTGAGGAAAGAATATCAAGAAGAAATGTACTTGAGAAAATTCTGTACAAGGAGTTCTAAGACTTGGTTTGCCTTGAGTTTTCATAATAGTTTAAAGATTATAATATACTCTCAAAATCCTGGGTAGGAAGTATGGTTTAATATTTTACTTGGGTTACTTTCTGCAGTCATCTCCTTCACTGATTGTATTACTGAATCATTTCTCTTCCACCTGGGAAAACAGCAAGATCTATTATCATTCCATAACTTGTAACAGGATCAAAATTATATATCATCTTTTAACAAAGGAGCAAAAGTACTCAATTTAACCCAGCACGAGTAAGTTATGTCCATTTTCAATGGCATTAAGTATCTTACTGTTTAATATGGTATATAATAATACTACTACTAATAGTTCAGATAATTTTTTTCAGGAACAGAAAAAACCCTTTTTCAAAATAGATCCCATTTTTGTTCCAAAATGTAAGCAGTCATATAATATTTGTATTTCCTATGTCATTTAGAAGCATTTAAACTTGAGTTTACAGAATAGCCTAGAGGCTTTAAATAGTCACAGTGTAGAGTCACAGCTATAAAAGGTGGGAGGCGCACAAGTTTTAAAGAGGCTGAGATTTCAGACAGTGGAGGTCATTTTTGAAGTTATTCCCCTTGAGTGAGAGATATTACACAGGTGGATGGGGAAGAGGACTTATACTATGAAATTGTCCCTGATGAAAGGGCACATACTTCCGAGTTACACATGGATAAATAACTCATTAAATTGAATATCAGTAACTATTTTTTCTGATTAGATCAATGTCCAATTTTACAAATACTTCCTCTGAACAGTATAAATTTATATATCAAAGATAACTCTGAGTTGAGTCCCAAGCAGATGGAAGCTCGATAATAGGTTAGTAATTGATAATTTCTAGGAGACATATGGGATACTTACAAAAATGAAGCTGATTGAAATAGGATTCATCTTAAGTAAAAAAATTATGTAGCCATATAAATTTATTGTTCTGAGAATTCATTTTCCTATAAACAAATATATTCAGTGTGTTTTAAATTTATCTAATTTTATAAATATTCTGAATGTAATAAAATATTTAAATATTATGAAATAAACTGCTGATAGTGATACTAATGACAGATTGAATATTGTTATCTAAGATACATGGGACCAGAAATGTTTTGAACTTCAGACTTTTTACATATCTTGAAATGATGGCATATGCATAGTTAGATATATCAGGGACAGAACTTAAGTCTAAACACCACCTTCATTTATGTCTGTTACACATCTTATAGCCTAACAGTAGTTTTATGTAATATTTTTAATGCTTCCGTGTTTGACCATAACACAAAATATGAGTTCAAGTGTGGAGTTTTCTGCACATACCATTATGCTCAAAAAAGTTTCTAATTTCAGAACCCTTTGGATTGTGCATTCTTAGATTAGGAAAGCTCAATTTGTACTGCTCTTTTATACATTGGAAATTTATGTGACATACTCAAAATATGGGTGTTCTGCTAATAGTCTTTCCATATAACTTCTCAATTACAGATTTAGAGATTAAAACATTTCCCTTCAAGAATAACTTGACATCTATAGTAAGCATCTTGCATTTATCTTGTACAAGTCTCTAGTATAATACTTTGTAGGGGGTAAAAAGCAATTTATATTACTAAATTGAATTAGAAGAAAACACTCACTAAACGGCAACTGCTTTTATTAATAGTAAATTCCTTTTATCTCACATTTTCCATTTGACTTTTAGAAACTATACTTTTGTTTTTATGTATATTCCAAAGCAGTACTCTAGCATTGTCTAAAATGTATATTTCAACATAAAACATCATATTACTGTTACATCAGTGTTCTATTTGTCCTGAATCATACTAATTTTCACTTTCCAATGCTTTAAGTGGATTAAATTATAGAAATACAAGTTTTTTATTCCATAAGTGAAACAATTAGAGATGCCTTCACATTTCATTGGTAGCTTTCTGAGGTAGTAAGGAATTTATACTTAAAAGCTATAAGCTGGGGCCAGGAATTTAGTTCAGTGGTATGGTGCGAGCTTCACAAGTGCAAAGGCCTTAGTTTGATCCCTGGGATCAGGGGGGAAAAAAGAAGAAATGATTAAAAACTTTCAGCTGGAGTTCAATGGCAAACTTGAATGAGAAGCATAATTTTGATCTGCAATGGTTATCAGATTAACAATTCTTAAATATCTGTAAACATATGACTCAAAAATTTGTATTCAATAATTATTAAGTAGTTATTTGTGTATTTTTCCACTTAAATTTTATGTTATTTTATTATATTGTAGTCCTTAGTTGGTCTTTTGACTTACTTAAGAAAAATAAATTTTGAAGTAGATGACATTTCTATAAATAGTAAATCTTCATTGTGAGTATAATTCATTCCAGAAGCATGCTTGTAATCAAAAATACTTGCATATCAAAGCAAATTTCCCTATGAGAAATAATGGAAATTCAAATAATTTGTTCCACAACTCCAAAATATTCACACAAAATGATTGCAATATGGTAATAAAATACTAAATCATTACAAAATATAAAGAAAAGTAAACAAATTAACCCATACTTACCTTTAAAATCTGTGGCCGGTGTGAGGGAGATGAGAGAGGAAGGTTACTCTGTAGGACAACTTTCACAATCATTAATAAAATCACTGCTATTTTTTTTTCTTTTTGTGCAACTTTAACAAGGAATCCAATGATGCTCACTTTTACCCCCTTTTGAGGATTTCATGAAAATGTAACATTGCATTGCTGTTAAACAGATCTATCATTCAGATTGTTATAGCCTTATTTGGATAGTGAGCTACAAAATTTTGCACTATTTCTCACATTTTACATTTGCATTAAATTCTAATCTCATTTGAAGTGAGGAAGTCCTCTGCCTTTTTCTCCTCCTCTGCAGACAAGATCTCCTCTATGGCCTAATGCTATTAGTAGATGATCATCTGTAATCTCACAGAGAGGTAGAGAGGGAGAGAAAGAGGAGGAAACCATTGACTCATTTGTGATTTTGTGATGTTTGGCATCAGGGACTACCAATAAAAAAACCCAAAACAAACAAACAAACAAAAAACTAAAATGAGAGGCCCCATTTCACTCAGCTATTGCCTTTCTTGGTATTTTCCTGAAAGAATTAAAAGAATTCTATCACAGTGATATATGCACACCCATCTTTATAGCAGCAGTACAGTTTGCAACAGCTAAATCCTAGAAACAACCCAAAAGCCCAAACACCAAGGAATGGATAAAGAAGATGAGGTTCTATTTTTTCTAATACCGTGGAGTGCTACTCTGCCATAAAGAAGAATAAACTCGAGACATTTCTAGGTAACTGGATGCATCTTTCAGACTAGACTCTTAGGTGAAATGAATCAAACACATGTCCAAATAACACATGGTTTCTCTGGTGTGAGAAGCAAAAAGGGTAAATAAGGACCAAAATGTATACTAGATATTGTGAAATAGGAAGAAGAGATTCAAATGGGAAGGGGAACAAAAAAGGGGAAGGGGGAAAGGAAGGAACGGAAAGAAAAAAGGAATAGAATGAAAAATGGAAACAAACTTTTGTAAATAAAGAGAGGAAGAGAGGTTGAAGGATGGGAGGGGAATAGGAAAAAAAAGAATCAAGATCCATCATATACAGGTACAAATTCCCTATGATAAATATTAGCATTATGTATATCTAAAATGTACCAATAAAATTAATTTAGAAAATAAATTTGATGTACAAGCCATCTGTACTTGTGTTCAACAGCTAATGTCTCATTTGTGTCTAAGAATCACTATTTTCAAGCCAAGTTTATGAGCTCCCTCGAAACCTGGCCTCCTGTGGCAGTGAACACTACTAGTAAGTTAGTGTCACTGCTAGACAGATCAGAGTTTTAATTGTCATGGTGGATTTTTTTTTCCACTTGACCCTGCATATCAACTCCCTCTCTGAAATGCCTCCGAAAGATTCTTAAAGCATCTCAGTTGCCAGTAGTTCAGTTCCCATTTCCCTCACCTAGGCTGATACCAGAGTTTTGTAATGGTATTCCACCTCAAGGCACTCTTCAGTCTGAACTGCAGTTGGAATTGTTCTGAGAAATGGAAAACCGATCACATAATCTCCTATGTGAAATATCTACTCTTAAGAACACTGAATCCACTTCCCTCTTCCTTGTCCTGCTTCTTAGCTGTGACCAGGCCTCAGCGTATGTCTTCATCCATGAAACTCAGTGCATTCTTTTTTCTTTGGTCCCTTCTCCCCTCTTCCTCATCAATATCAATTCATTTTTATTCTTCCCTTGGATCCCAACCTCATCAGCACTTGCTCTGTGATACCCTTTCTCCACTTCCCAAATGAAGTCACTGATTAGCATCTCCGCATGCTGGGTGTTACCTTTCCTCTATAGCAACTCACACAGCAGCAATACTGTATTGATTTAATGCAACTCATTAAGTTCTAATTTTTCTATTCTATGGTAAAGTCCTGAATGTCCTTTATTTCTGCAGTAATATATCATCAGGACACATCAGATGTTGTAGCATTTGTTGTATGTACAATGCTGTACATACATTACTGAATGCTTGGACCTAAGGTTAAGGTCATCACAAATCCTACCCAATATTCCCTAGCCTCACAATCTCACCTGGGACAGGGAAGGCCATTTTTCGGCCTTTGGACTTCTAATGAACTCCCTACCTGAACAATTTGTTCAGGGCTCTTCATAAAGTTCTTCTGGATACATGAAAAGGTCCCACTACATGGTAATTTCCTAGATAGTAGAAATTCTTTGTTACAGATCTTCATCTTTGTTTCCCTCTCAGTGCAGCACTTCATATATAATGTATTGAACACACATGCACACAGCTGTACACACTCGTACACACACACAGACATACACAAAGTTCACCATATAAATAAAATCCACTCAGGTTGTTCTACACATATCAAAGTTCTTTCATCAATTTCAAATATCTCTGGAACATTTTTAACAATAAAGATGACCTTAGCATCATCCTCTAAGCAACCCCGCCCAATGTGTGGTTCATATATATTCAGCCTTAGTTCATCTGTGCATTCATGAAAAGAAGTCATGTGACAAGAGAAATTATTGTACATTTCTTAATCCCTAGGTGAGTTCATTTGTCCAGGTTTTTCCAAAAAAGAAATGATCTCCATCTGTTTTATTGTATTTCAAATACAAAGTTAAGTATCTTTAACTGTGTTACTCCTGACAGCCAATTAATTATATGTGAAATAGCATACAAAGTGATGATGAAAATATTACAAATTAAGATTAAGAAAGAGTGTAAAAAGGGGTCATTTATATTCTAGTAATTTCAAAGTTGACATTAATTTGCTTTTCAGAATTCTGTTCTTGGAAGTTTCTGTAAGTCTTTCATTTTTATATGCTCTAATCCGAGATGGACTCTCACATTAAAGCAGAATGCAAATCATTTTTATTTCTTGAGTAGCTAGAAAAAGTCTTACAGTAAAATGGGAAACTGTACTACAAAGCTCTTATTTTTATGTCCAAACTTGTCTACATATTTCTTGCTGGATACTTATAAGAGAGCACAGATTTCTCCAGAGGACCTCTAGTGACACTCTGCTTAGTCAGACCCCTCCTTTTGCTTTGTCTCTGCCTTGCAGAGCTGAAGCAAACATAATTCTGTGTGTTTTTCTAAAGAATGCTGGAAGTCAAGCAAAAATAGCCCAACTACTTGATCCAAGCAATACCTGCACATAGAAGACAGGATGACGGACCAGGGAGGAGCTCACCTATCTTAACTAATGGTTAATGTGCTTCTTTGGTGGGATCCCCAACCCAGAGACGTGCGGTCATGAAATCTGTGCCATATCAGCCAATTCCTTACTTGTCAAAATGAATTTTAAAATAAAACAGGCTAGATTCGAAAACCATTTTTTTTTTTTTTTTTTTTTTTTTTGAGACAGGGTCTCACTATGTAGTTGAGACTGACCTGGAACTCACTGTGTGGCCCAGGCTGGTCTCGACCTCATAGCAATACTCCTACCTCAGCCTCCCGAGTGCTGGGATTACAGGCATACGCCAGCCACTATGCCTGGCAAAAACCCTATAAATTTATTACCTCTAAATTAACACTGTTAAGGTAGAGTTTTACCTTTCTGCAGAAGTCTAATAAATTCAGCTTTATTTGTTCCACAAGTTTTCCAGTGGTTTTTAGGAGGTCAACGGTCAATGTTTGTTGGTCTTATTTTCCTGTATTTGTTCTTTAGATGTGCTTTTGTTTCAAATGTTTGATTTAGTTCTTATTTACTAACTCAAGGAGCTAGACCAAGTTATATTACATCTCTCTAATCCTATGTCCTGAGCAAAATGGAACCCCCGCAGGGTTCTTTTGAAGTCAAATAAATTAATGTATTAAGAACATCAGCTAAATTAGGTGTGGTAACACAGCCTGCAATCTCAGCATTCTGGTAAACTGTAAGAAAGATCAGATCACAAGTTCAAACCAGCTCGGGCAACTCAGCAACTTAGTGAGACCGTCTCCCAAAAAAAAAAAAAAAAAAAAAAAAAAAAAAGAGCTGAAGATAAAACTCAAGGCAAAGGCTCCAGTTTCAATCTCTAGTACTACAGGAAGTAGAGAAAGAGAGAGGGAGAGAGCGAGAGAGAGGAGAGAGACAGAGAAGAGAAACTAAGGTATGGAGAAGTCAAGTAACTTGCTCAAAGCTACAGAGTTTCTAAATAGAAGTGCCTGCAATAAAATCCAGGAAATCAGCTCCACAGTCCTTAGCCCAATTCACTAAGTCAAGCTGCCTCATTTTACTGGTTTAATTCAGTTCCCCATTGAATATGAGGAGAGGTTTCCCAAAGTGCTCCCATTGTTATTTAATTTATCTTGCACACTAAAGCAATCATTTTTATATATTGCTATGGCTTATCTCTAGATGTCCCCCACAGGCTCATGTGCCCATAGGTGGGGTTTTGGGTGATAGCTGGATTATAAGAGTGTGATACCAGATTATGAGCATGAAAACTGGATTAATGCACTGATTTTCTAGAGATCCATTGGGAGTTATCTGTTCCCACTTTGTTTCCCTAATCTTGGGTCTTAAATATTTTGGGGGGAATGGAAAACTAGTCCAGAAGTCAGGTCTTGAGAATTACATTATTCCACAGAGGTCTTCACTGAAATTCATTCTTCCACAGAGACACGGGCTCAAGGAAGGAAAATAACCCTCCATTTGGTAGTAGGGTAAAAAAACAGAGAGGAAAGAATGAGGAGAAAAACTAATTGAATACTCGAACACTTGAGCTGAATGTAGTAGTGGTAAGTTTAGCAGTACCTGTAAGGTCAGCAAGACTGCTGATGGCAGTAATAGGAATGGCAGTAGCTCACCCTTCCCACGGTACATTCTGTGTGTGCACATTATAAGCCATGGGACATAGCCATTTCTGCTGGCTGATTGTTTCTCCTCCCAGGTGGCCACTTAATTCTCACTTGACTTACACATCACAACTTGCACCACTTTTATTCCACGTGTCTTTACCTCCACTTCATTTGAGATCCTGTGAAGACAGGATCTACTTATACTTTTTAAAGTTATGTACAATAGTTCAACAAAATGTCAATCTTCACACTCAACAAAAGAAGATAGAGACGAATTGTTAAATTGATGGTAGGACATAAGAACTTTGGTGTTTGAGAAAATTAGAAACACAGAGCTAACTTCTTCATTTTGATAAGCTAAAACTGTTGCTAAGGCAAATCCCCTCACTTAATTTCTCAATTGTTCTATCTTCAAAAATAATTACATCGTATAAGAACTTCATGGTAATTAAATGAATTAGTTATGACAAAGTCCATTGTATTTTAAAGAAAGGAACTCTCTTGAATGTGTGCTTTTACATGTATTATCTCATTTTCTTACTGCAAGGATGTCATAACAGAAGTGTCATTATTTTATTAAATCATTTTGTTCTAGAGCTAAATTTATTTCAAAAGGTTTTAAAAATGTGAAGGTCTAGACACTTGGACACATATGCTTTGATTCCAAATCACAAACTCTGTAGTTCACATTCTCAACACAGTTATCTCTTGTGCTGTGCATAGTCTAATTCTTTTATCTCTACTAGAAATTGAAAACATGTCCACCAAACATAGATTTTATTTCCAAAGCACGAAGTGTTTCCTCTGATTGGAATCCCAGATGGATGTCTGAACAGATGCATGCTATAGGAGGAAATGACATCACAAGACCTTGAGCATTGCAGAATGCCCCTCACAAGCTTCACCGCTGGCTACTAAGAGCCAGACCTGTGCACAGGACCCCAGGCCACTTGTGCACCTTGTACATATTGCAGAAAGTGCAACATTGGGTCACATTTTTCTTTGCTACCTGGGAAAACTACAACTGTATTTTTAAAGTAAAAAGTAACTATAATTTACTAAGGAAAGATAGACTTTCTCTTTTCCCTATTAAATTGAATGTATATTTAAAAATTGAATAAACAGACTCAATAGGAGGAAATAAAAGCAAATTTATGTTAGTCTTTCTTACTATGAAATTCTACAACTAAACTTTGCATAAGGCTCTTTCTTCTAGATTTCCAAAGTTGAACATCCCAGCTTTGTACTACTTAGAGCCTAAAGAAAGAGAAATCATCCATCTGGGACACCTTAGAAGGTGACTAACTTTGAAAGGTTATCACTCATGAATTAATTCTCTGTCACAAATAGATCAAGTAGTCAGAAAATAAACAATGAAATACTAGAACTCAATCAAACCCTTGAACAAATGAACTTAGCAGATGTCTGCTGAGTGTTCCACTCCACAAAATCAGAGTATACTTCTTTTTGGCTGCACACAGGTCATTCTGCAAAATAGACCACATACTCGCTCATAGAACATGTCTAAGTAAGTGCAAAAGAACTGAAGTTGATCCCCTGTATATTATCAGATTATAGTGTGATGAAATTGGAGATCAATAGCAAAAGAAACCACAGAATTTCATAAACACATGAAAATTGAACAACACACTTCTGAATAACCAATGAGTCACAGAGAAAATTAAAGAAGAAATCAGACAGTTTCTACAATGAAATGACAATGTCAACTCTCTCAACATTTTATAAGTACAGCAAACTGAAGAAAGAAAAAGATACTTCTTAGACTCATGACAAATGCAAAGAAAACAACATAGAAAAGAAATTTGATAGCATTAGATCAGTGCATTTAAAAACAAGCTACAGGAAAGAACTTGTCTATCTCAATATATAGGAATTAATGAGATAATTATGGCAGAAGTGGGACTAGTACTGCGTACAAAATGTAGGAATTTAACAGAAGGTCCTCAGTTTAAAACCCTCCACCCACCTCATATAAAATCTCTTGAATAAACCTTTTCCTGTTCTGGCCAGTCTGCTAAATGAGGCATACAAGGTAATTATGAAGCTTGACTTTTCTATGCAAAGAGAAAAATACCAAGCATGGACCTTTGTTATTTTATAATCACTCCCATTAGCATTGCTAGCTGCACCTAATAGGCTGATGAATAGGGCATTGCTTCTGTGAGTGACTAAATACCACTTAATGTTCTTTTCCAAAACTGAAGAAATCAAGAAGAGGCAGAGCAGTGTTTGACATGTATTTGTTTATGAGCACAAGGAAATAACAAGGGAAGAATTAATTAAGAAGACCTGGACATTTTTATGGTAGTGATTTTAAGAATATTAGCCCGTGTAGAAAACAGAACAAAGAGGATCAACCGTGAATTGCCAAATAGAAAAGCATTGCTTGGATGCTGGCATTCCAGAAGCAGATAACGGGCCTGGTGCATAACCATTTAGCACATTTCAGAACTTCATAAATCAAAGTCACTGAGTTCAGCTTAGTGGAAAGATTCTTGATTTTAGACTTTAAAATCTTAATGTCAATTCCTAATTCTTTGTGCCAGCTGGAGAAAACTAATGAATTTTTCTAAATTTTAAAATTCTGACATTTTCAAATTACACCTTGGATATATAATTTAATTCCACTAGACTTCATTACTCTTCTCTGCAAATGACAAGGGTGCTAAACATCCAATAAAATTAAGGATTTAGATGCACAGCGGTGTACATGGAAAAGTGTGGTCCTCATTCCACGTTAGACTCTGTGTGTGAAAGCGATCCCATAAGGTGATAACGGACCTGTAGTATTCCATCACCCAGAGATGTCTCAGTGCTTCTAACCCTGAGACAGCACATTGCTCCTGGGTTTGCTGGGATATTGGTACAAACAAGTAGAATGCAAACCAGTCATAGAAAAGTACAGCATGTACAGTTATATACTCAGTATTTACTCTCACTTCATCTTTATGTTTAAAGTTCACTCCTTCTACTTACTCAGAAAGCCCCACGTAGTTTAATGCAGTGTGCCACATTATGGCACCAGCATCCTCACACCCACTGTGTTTAGCACATCTCTTGATTGTTTCAGGATTCCAGGGCAGAGCATGGACTTGTGGAAGTGCTCACTGTGATGGTCACACAGATGAAGTCATCCAATAATGCAGTGAAGCATCAAAGGCATCTATGACATCACACAACGCACAGTGAGTGGCATAGAATACAAAAAGTGTCTGTAGGAAAGAGGTAAAAAATAACACAGGCTCCAGACTTTGACATTTCCGGAACAAATCCTCTCTCTACCACTTAACAGCATGAGCTTCAGAGAAGCCATTAACCTGAGTCTCAGTTTACGTATTGGGAAAAAAGGGATGATGATGACAATAATAATACAAATCTCACTGGACAATTGACGAAATGCATGCGAGGCTCTTACAGCTGGCACACAGCATTTCATTTAAAATTGACTAAGAATTAGCAAGTAAGTTAGGAAAAGTAAGGTGAAAGCTTCAGAGTACTGGGTTGTCAATGGTCAAGTAATACCTACAACTGAAGATAACATGGGCATTTGAGGAAGTTTCTAAAACATAAATTTTGTCTTCCTGGGGATGATACAAAAGTCATGCTGCTAAAACTACTGAAATAGGAACAAGATGATAAGGTAGATGGCTAGCTGTGTGAATGATTACAATTCTCCAAATTGACATCTGGAAGTAAAGAAATATTAATTTTCTGAAGTGTACTCTCCACATCTGCTTCTATCAAAAGAGCATGAATTTTTCAAATTCAAATCACACTTGCAGTTTTCTCTGTATTATTACTAAAGAATTTGTCTGCTAAAACAATAAGCACATATGTGCTTTCATCTCTATAAAACACAAAAGCTTAAATTACTCAAATTACTATATTTTTAGAACTAAAATAGAATAAAAAATTATAGTTTCTCCTTCAAGGAACTGTATTTCATTGGGAAGCCAAAACTTCTACACATTTTTTTGTTTTATTTTTCTTTTCCTAACTCATGTGCCCTCTGTCTCCTATCCTGCTCAGTCTTCATTCATTTGGCACATTTCTCTATTTTAATGTGAAATATAAAGTTTGTATTATGAGTTGCAGCCCCAACTACAAGCTATATGCAGAAGTAGGGCAAGATGCTAGAAATATTTTTGAAAGAGATTCAAAAGTACAAGTGTCTATGATTTGACAGCCAAAATCATGAGATGTGGATGTAAAAAGGAAAGGCACAAGCATGCACACAGGTACGGAGCTCTGGAACTGCACACGCACTAAAGAGCCTGTATTTACATGAACAGCCCAGGGTGACCCTAGGTCAGTGTGACAACCTGGGAAGGTAGGAAAAGATAATAAAGAGCTTTGAAAAAGGTCAAAGAAATTCATTACTATGTCTTGAACTGAGGTGGATTTGAAGGATGTAAGGAGCTAGAATCTGACTTACCTGTTGAAATGTTGAAAGGAATTAGCCCAAGCACTAGAAGCCTCATACTTACATCATCTGAGAAGACAAGCAAACAGGGAGAGGATTCTGTTTACAACAGCGGACCATTAAAGATGTGTTCAATCAAATATTTCATATGTGCAGTAATATTTCAAAATATAAGGAGTTAGTAAGTAAACAGTATTTAAATACTAGTAACTACAAGTCTAGGAAAGTGTGAACAGAGCGTTTGTATTGAGTATAACTTCTTTAAATATCAAGGTAATTTGGACTGATAATTATATTGCAATGAAAAAAGTTATGTATCGCAAATAATTATGATGACATGCAAGAATATATTTGAAACTAAAGATCTACTTTTAAATGAATATATAAATATCCATACACAGTAAAACCTTGGATTGCAAGTAACTTGTTCAGTGACTGTTCCACAAGGCAGGGAAACATTTCCAATACATTTGAACTTGATAAATGAGCAAATTCTTGCCATACGAGTGGCTCATGATGCCCAATGTCACATGACCACAGCTGAGTCACTGGTTCTCCTTTTTCTCTCCCCACCCCTGTCTGTCTCTACTGCATTGCAGGTGATCATTTCCCACAAGGTTATGCAGATTTGCAGAGGGAGAGAAGAAAAAAGTAGAGGACTTCCGCACATCATTTGAGATTAAGGAGATGTGCAGAATGTGGGAACTATTGGAAAATTTTGTAGAAAATCACCTGAATGGGGCTGTAGCAATGCAAGCAATGCATCTGTTTAGTGACGATGCAGTGTCACATGTCTTCAAAATCCCCAAAAGGGGGCACAAGCAAGTGTCATTGGCTAGGTTCCTTGTTGAAGTTGCACACTCACACACACACACACACACACATATACACACAAACACAAATATTTCACTGAGTCAGTAGACAGCAGTGATTCCATTAATGATAGTAAAAGTTATTATACAAGTTAAACTTCCTCTCTCTTGTCTCCCTCACACCAGCCACAAAGGAAGTAAGTACAGGTTAGTTTGTTTATTTTTCTTTTTTAATTTTGCATTACATTACAGTATTAAAATCATTTTATGTAACTATTTTGGAGCTGTGGAATGAATCATCTGTGTTTCCACTCTTTCTTAAGGGGAAATTGCTTTCATATACAAGTGTCTTGAATGACAAACATATTTCTGGAAGGAATTATGCTTACAAACCAAGGTTTTGCTATATGATACACAGACAATTACAGAACATTTTCAAAAATCACAGAGCAACTAGCTGTTGTTCACTTCATCTGAATGTCTAAATATCTTGGAATATTTATATCTATCTAAGATTCTACTTTTAACAAAATTAACATCGATAACTTCTATTGTCTATCATCACAATTGTTATTTTTCTTGGCATATTTTCTATAGCAAGCTTATTCCCCGCTGGCCTTTATTGTCTCTGGGGTAATACTGTCTCTCATTACTACTACTTTGGCTGAAAGAATAATTTTTCCCCTGGTAGACTGCGGTGGCTCAGCCAGAGTAAACTGCAGGAGCTTGAATTCAAAGAGCACATCCAGATATAAACTGCAGCTAATCAGATACTTATATACAAGATAATGCTCATAAAGCCACAGCGAAGGAGACCATGAAGTGTGAGTAAATGCATATACCTAATAGTTTGGATTATGCTATAAGGTTTAGTTACTCTATGGCAATGTTTTTATTAGAGAAACTTCTGTTTCATAGAGGCATTCAGTATAACCATTCACAAAAATTAAATGCAAACTTGTCATCTTAATATTTTTTTGTTCACTGCTTCCCTTTATTTATCATTTAAGTAATTCTCTCTGAACTTTTCTGTATTGTTCTCAACTGTTTAGCAGAACACATTTATCTTTCCACCTTACTTTCTGACTCATTGTACAAGAGACATACAACCTCAAGATGCGAAGTGCTTAGCACTGCAGACCAAATGATGGATATCAGACACAGATTTAAACAGAACCAAAGAGAATGGTGATAAAACCAGGGGAGAATAAAGCAAAGCTCTGCTAAAAGGGAAAAATTAAGAAGGATTAAGGCAAATATAAACAGGAAGAAATGGGAGAAGAATGAAAGGAGAATGGTAGAAAAAGCATGTACCTAGCAGAGCCCGAGGGATGACTTGGATAGAGACAAGGATTGAACTTAAAAAAAAAAAACCCAAAACATCAATAATTTACTCAGAGGTCAATTTTGGGATATACAGCAAATGTCTTACTCCTGAGATGTGCTAAAGAAGTACTGCTAATAAATCAGAAAGCGCCAAAGGAATGCCATCTGTATTTCAAGACTTGTAAATTCTTAGTAATATAGAAATGGTCCTAAATCATGAGTCATAGGCTATCAGTGGCAATTTCTATCCCATAGACATAAATTACAAACAGGAGTATTAGATTAAATAAATGTTCTCTGGCTCTAAAGTAACTGTCACACATCATCATTATCATAATCATAACCATATCTGTTTTCAAGTTAATTTGAATTTGAATACATGGGCTTATTATGCCTAACACTTAGGTCCACATAGAAATCTTTCCAAATCTTCTGACCATCATCACTTTTGCACCTTATCTTGTCAATCCTTCCAAACCCTGCAGCCAAGGGAAATCTCTGCTCCAATTTTGTACAGCCCCTGCTTCAAGGCCCACTGCCTAGGCCAATGGTGGTGAGCCTACAGCACAGCACATGTACTACAGCAGGCTGTTTGTATCATTGCAAGCTCTAAAGCGTTCACCAATGGCCAATGTCTGGGCCATTGAATCTCCAAGCCCTGACAGCAGCCTTCCCCTATGAGGACTGGCATCATGGACCCATGAGGACCACTGCACATTACCTACCACTTTTCACAGCTCAGTTACCCATATGTGGTCACTTAAGATGTAGCCTTCTGAGCTGGGGCTTTAGCTCAGTGGTTCAGCACCCGCCTCGCAAGCACAAGGACCAGAATCCAATCTCTGGTTCAAAAAAAAAAAAAAAAAAAAAGATGTAGCCTACTATCTTCCATTGTAGCCTTAGCCTGATGCTAACAAGGAATTTATTTTTATTACCTTCAACCCTTTCTATGTATTCTAAAAATCTCCATTCTTAAGCCTAAAAAATATGTTTTGGTGTGATTAATGCATTCTCAGAAGTTCTCAGAGATGGAAGGCCCTCCCTTCAGTTCCTGTGACTATTGTTTTTCCAGGTACCCAGGATTGCATTCAAACCATTCCACATGAACCACCATGATGACTGGTTCCTCCTCGGAAGCTCAATCTGTATGGTTACCTAATTTGTCATAACCACATGGCTCATATCCCTACAGTGTGAAGATATATAACTTTGTTTACGATAGTTCTTCTTACTCCAAATCCTCTTACTATGCTGAATATCTTTAATAGAGGTTATCCAAACCACTGCACCAAAACCTTATTGTATAAACTTCTACTAAAAATACACACTCTCGTCAACATCCATCTTGACTGGCTTGGGAAAAATCATACGTTTAATCACCAAGATAGTGGCCACACCCCTTTAACTTCCGACTCCCTCACACATTTTCCCACAGCCTCTTGCCCTCTGTCCCACTCACTGCTTTTAAAATTATTCTGATTTCCTTTCCCTACTGTCTACTTGGATTCATCATCCACTGACTGCACTACTCTTCTGACAATATTATCATTTGTTTCTTTTAAACACCTTTCCTGGCAAATTCTTGTTGACCTTCTCGCTGCCAAGTACTGCTGGAAAACTTTTCACTCTGTCCATATGTCTCCAGCTTCAATGAACAAATATAGAGAAATACCCTTTCCCAAGCTGGCTGTACTTTTCTGAGCATCATTTATTACCAACTTTCTCCAAAAGGCTCTCCTCCTCCTCCTTCCAAGAGAATACAGATGCCTGCGATTTCTTAACATTACTTGTGATGTAGCTGTATATTTATTTGCTTTTCTAGTCTATACACAAAGGAAGAAAATGATCTTTCATTTAATCAGAGTTAATCCCTCATTCCAGGTCTTCTGAATTCTTAAATATTTTCTGCTGTGCATTATTTTAGTTTTTTAAAGGTTAATTTTATCCTTATTTTTTTCCTCATTTCAAGGTGCATTTTAAGTCTGTGATAATATATTAAAATGAACAAACAAAATATTAATCAAACCAAACAAAAAACATTAAAAAAGAAACAAAACTTTGGCAGTAACACCTTTAAGTACTACATTAAAATAGTCTTAGAAGAGCTAAGGAAATAACTCAAGGGTTGAAAGCTTGCCTAGCGCAGGCATGTGTTAGATCCTGACACTGAAAAAAAAACAAACAAAAAGCCCCTTGAAGCCTAAAAGCACTGTTAAATGGTTGATTATTTAATGATTTGACGTTTTCATGTTTTCTGGTCATTGTTCTTTTTGCATTTTCAATACTTTTAAAAATATTTTGATATATTATTTATTTTTTGTAATTTAAAAAGGTATGTTTAGGCCAGGCATAATGGTACACACTTGTCATCCCAGAATTTGGGAGGCTGAGGCAGGAGGATCACTCCAAGTTTGAAGTCATCATGGGTACATAGTGAGTTCAGGACCAGTCTGACCTACATAGTGAGACCCTGTCTCAAAAGAATATGTTTACATTTATTGTGATTTTTATGTTTATTATAATTATGACTCATATTTCCTCAAGAATGTTTATTATCCAAAATTTGCTTACTGTAATACTAATAAAGTAATCATCATTTGAATATGATTTTCTTTTTATTTTGTTCTTTAAAAATGGATAAATAGCCACATATTTATGCTTAGACTTTTTTTTATATCATGTTTTAAATATTTTACCCTTCACTGGTAATATTCTTTATCTTGAAGTCAATTTTGTCTCATAAATATAGAAACTCTAGCTTCTCTATGTCATTTATTTCAATTTGCCATATGATTTTTACTCACTTTTTACAGCTTCCTTTCGGATTTATCAGTTTCTTACTAGTTTTCAATTTCAGTTAATTATAAGCTTTTGCTCTACTTCTTTGAATTATTTTTAATGGTTTCTCTGGGGTTTACAAAATGCAACCTCAATTCATCTTTGTCTAATTAGAATTACTAATGGACTAGCATTTCATACTCTATGTAAGATGCTTACAGCTTTGTATTTCTATATATTCTTGTGTTAAGTTCTATATCAGGTACATATATATATATTTTTTCTTATATTTATTCACCCCAGAAGACATCATTAGTATTCTACCTTAGTCATCCACTTCTTCAAGTTTTTTAAGTGTAAAAAGTACACTGTTAACTATTTATTTACATATTTACCAACTGTAGTGCTTGTCCTCTATTTCTGTAGATCTTAATTTCCATATGTTTGTGTGGGGACAGGGGTCTGTAGATAAGAAAATAAAATAGGGGCCTCCCTAGGTCTTCTAGCCAATCCTGAGTAGAAAGAATTAAAAACAAATTTAATTGGAGAGATTCCCTTGGGAATCAAGTCAAAAACAGGAGTCAGAAAAAGAAAAAAAAGAAAAAAAGAAAACCAGCTAAAGGAAGGCACCAAATGGCCTTGGCACTTGCACCAAGAGACCAGAAAAAGACCTAACAGCAGGACACAGAAAGCCAGGTGCTCAAAAGACAAGACACCCCTACCTCCAATAAGATATAAGGGAACAGGGATCTGACTAACTGTAAGGCAGTGTGTACTCACTCCTGTGCACTGCCAAACACACACTTCTATACAGGTGTATGCACTCTACAGTCACTCTAGGGTCATTATAGAGTACAGGAGACATCCACACGCCCCCTTACTAACTCTAAGCTAACCAAGAAGAAGCCACCTGCCTTGCCAAACAGCTGCCCACTCCGCAGATAAAGCCTTAAAAGCTAGGCCAAGGACAAGTAAAGGGACAAGAACCTGCACATAGACCACCGGAAGAAATAACGTCAGGCAGAGGTGTCCAAAAGCCAATCCAGTTAGGGCAAATTTTGGAACGGGCGGGAGTAGGGTCACTCACACCCCCATGAAAACAGCTGGCGAACAAAGGGCCCCAGGTCCCCAGTCTTTCTGGAACCCCCTATTCTGATTCTTTATTATAAGAGTAGCTATCTATCTTGTCCTTTCTCCCTTCCTTTCCTCTTTACGAGTAAAGAGTCATTCTTTGCTTAAACTTTGAGCCTCTGTTTCATTATTGGGTTGACTTATGATGCCCCTGGGTGCTCAGACAACAGGGAGCTTGCTGGTTCCCCACATGCGACATTCAAACTTCCCTTTAGCCTAAGATTATTTTTATTTCTTGAAGTGTTAGGCCCTTCCTTCATAAATCATTCAATTTTTATCTAAAATTTTTACTTGATAGGTCTGGAAAAATATTTTAGAGACCAAATTCTTGGTTGATAAAGATTTTTTTAAATGTATTTAAGCACTCTAAGGATGTAATTTACCTATCATAAGGTCATAGGGTTTGAGGATCTATTACACAAATATGGCATCTTGGCATTTGAGAAAACTGCAGAAGCTTCAAGGCCAACCTCACCATCCTTTGCTCTTCTCTGAAGCCTACCTTCCTTTGAAGTGAGTCACGGCCCCCTCATTCCAGCAGTACTCGCTCTACGTCCAGAGGAAGAGACTGCCCTGCACTCTGAAGACGAAGCGTGTGAGGCGGATCTGAACAGACAGCCTTTCTAAGGCTCTCCCAGTTCAAACCGTCAGATAGCACTCCCCAGAATAGCTTTTGCACGCTGTTTACTTTATCCACTGTGCGTACAACACCACAAAAATTTCTCTGTTATTTTAGATCATCATTCCTGCTTCATGTAAAATTGATACTGCATTAAACGAATGTGTGCACTTGTCCTTGTTTAGCTATCTTTTGTTATAAGGGTCTCAACCAAGAATCTCGCGGAGTGTGAGAAAAGAGTGACCTCCTCACTCTTCCTTTATTGATTCCAGTGAGAAGTCAGTCATCCTGCAGATGACCTTGTTTGTTTGTTTGTTTGGTTTTGGTACCAGGGATCGAACTCCGGTCCTTGCACTTGTGAGGCAGGGGGTGGAACCCCTGAACTAAATCCCTGGCACAAATGACCTTTTTCACATTTTATTTTTTCTGATTCCAAAATTGTCATTTTTGTTGTTCCACAATTTTGATGCTTTTCTTCACTCTCAATATTGTACTTGATGTGTTTCAAATAATTTAGATTTGTTTATGTTCCTCTTAAAACTGTTGATTATTCCTCAAATAGAAAAGTTCTCTGGACACAAATTGCTAATGAGCCTCTACTAGAGCTTTTTGGGGCCACCCACGGTAGGCTGACTGTGTTCTGCTCTGGGGCCAGCCAAGGATCTGTGTAAAGGCAGAGTGAAAATTCTGGTGATTACTTCTTTTTGGGCTCCTCTTCTCTGCCATCCCACCCCCTACCAGATTTCTGACACCAAAATAGAAAACTGTACACTGTCGATGGAATGATGGGTCTGTTTTTGAGTTATAGCCACTCTGTACTCAATGGATCAAGAATGACGTGGGTGACAAGCTATATGGAGGTGACTTCCAGACAGCATGGTTATTTTCTTTGGTAAAGTAGGCTAGAAGGGATTTCATGATACTCCAATATAGATAATTTTTTTTTTGCCATAGTTAGAAGAGAGAGGTGTGGTTCCCATGCTCATAAGTTAGCAAGCACTAAGAATGCTGGTAGGAAGATCCCCAGAAGAGGGATGGTTGGGTCAAATGGAATCTCTAGTCCCAGATCTTTGAGGTGTCTCCATATTGATTTCCACAGTGGTTCCACCAGTCTGCACTCCCACCAACAATGGAGAAGTGTTCCTTTCTCCCCACAACCCTGCCAACATTTGTTATTGAGTGATTTCTGGATAGTAGCCATTCTTTGTGGGGTGAGGTGGAATCTCAATGTTGGTTTCATCTGCATCTCTCAAATGACCAATGATGTGGACCATTTTTTCATATATTTACTTGCTGCTTTTCCTTTTTTGTCTGAGAAATATGTGTTTATTTCAGATGGCCATTTTTGAATGGGGTCTTTATATTTGGGGGAGCTGATTGTTTTGAGTTCTGTATATATTCTAGATAGTAGTCCTTTGTGCCCATCAGTTGGAAATTGGATAAAGAAGATGTGGTTTTGCTATAAAATGGAATACCACTCAGCCATAAAGAATGAGAAATTAGATTCATTCATAGGAAAATGGATACATATTGAGGATATACTCCTAAGTGAAATAAATAAGTCACACGTGTAAATACCGAATAGTTTCTCTGGTGTGAAAAGCTATAATAGTACATAAGATCCTAATGAGATAATTGACCATATGAAATGGGAAGAAAAGGGCTAAAGGTGTAGGGAAAATAGGAAGGGTAGGGGAAAGGTAACAAGGGAAAAGAAAAAATATGAGAAAATGAAAAAATGGAAATAAAGTGTTTGTAAATGGGTAGGGGAGGAGGGGGTGAAGGGAGGCAGGGACAAGGGGAAAAATGAGAACCAAGACCTGTCATGTGAAGGTACAAGATCCCAATGATGAATGTAACTGTACTGTATACCTAAAATGTACCAAGAAACTCAATAAAAGAAAAAACAAAAGAATGCTGGTGGGTTGGAGACATAGCTCAGTGGTCAAGCATCTGCCTCACATGTCTTAGGTCCTATAAACTACCAGCACCACACGAAAACCCACACAAAAACAAAACAAAGCACCCTAGAAAGCAACATGTATATAATACTCCCAATCATCTTAGAAAACTAATTCGTAAATAAAATTGTAGTAATATATATTTGAAAATTTTCAACATATTATAACAGCTAAATATCTGAGATAAGTGATTAAGTATACTGTGTTTTTTTAGAGAAGTAGAACATTATGTAAGAATCTATTTTAGTGGAAGCTTTATATTCTCAAATATGTAAATTAAAAATGAATATGGTGGTTATGGAGTCTGATTTTCTGTTCAGAATGAGGTCAATGATATATTTGTCCTCTCAGCCATATGGATGATCTATTATCCATTTGTACAACTTTTAAACTTCTCATAGTTCCTCTGTTGCCTTTTCTTACTTGCTAAATATAATTATTCTCACACACAGTATGATTTTTTCATACTTGCTATTTTATTTTTAAAACATGTACTGAATAGTTTCGCTGGTGTGAATAAACTATAATAGTACATAAGATCCTAATGAGATAATTAACAATGTGAAATAGGAAGAAAAGAGCTAAAAGTGTAGGGAAAGTGGGAAAGGAAGGGGAAAGGTAATAAGGGAAAGGAAAAAATAGGAGAAAATGAAAAAATGGAAACAAAATATTTGTAAATAGGGAGGGGAGGAGGGGGTGAAGGGAGGGCAGGGACAAGGGGAAGAAATGAGAACCAAGACCTGTCATGTAAAGGTACAGGATCCCAACAGTGAATGTAACTGTACTGTATACCCTAAAATGTACCAATAAACTCAATGAGGAAAAATAATTTTTTTTTAAACATGATGTTTGCCCTGACTCAATGTTCTTTAGAAAATACCAGATTCCTCTCAAAGTGTTGAGACACACAGGTTGAAGTTGATCCTCTTGCTCAGTTTGCCTGCAAATTATCATCTCAGTTTGGGTTCCAGTTTCAGAATTATCTGCTGCTGTTATTTTCTGTTTTTTTATTTATTTAAACACAATGCTGTATATAAGTAACCGAGGCCTCGTTATGAAAAATTAATTACAGGACTACAACTGCCCCAACCTTGGTCTTAATGCCAAGTGCATAATTTCCAAAATCATCATCAAAATCACCACTCCCACTTTGTAATTCCTTATCTGTATTTTATGGCCGCCACAGACCACAAGTAGAAGTAGAGATACACTCACAGAGGATGAAGTGGGAATAGCACACAGCCTTAAAAAATAAAAATAAAAAAGCAAACAGAGCATTTACAGTGCTAGTTTCCTTGTTTTCACAAGTCTGAATTTAGGTGAATATGATAGATGAGAAATAAAATATACTGTAGAAGATTAATATATTTGTGATTTCTTATTTCAAGAACTGTAGAGATAGTTTGGGAACAACTACAAATGAAACTATAAATTACAAATATAGGATGTGTTCCTGTTAAAATGTCTTTCCTTAGAAGTAAAATATTTGCACAGAGTGTAGAGGAAATATGTAGCATTGAAAACATCATATTAAAAATAGACATCACAGATATGTGCAGTTCTGGAATCCAAGCTAAAAAGAGAAACCCAAAATTCAAATGTATGTTCTTTTGTCAATAAGAAACATATTACTTAGTCTACCAGCTATGTGCAGTGGCGCACGCCTATGATCCCAGCACTCGGGAGGCTGAGGTTGGAGGATAGTGCAGAGTTCAAGGACAGCCTGGACTACACAGTGAGTTCAAAGCCACCTGAACTGCATAGTGAGACCTTGTCTAAAAAAAATTACTTATTAGTGTACCAATATACGAAGTCACTCAAAGCTTAAAAGGAAAACTAGAATGGAAGTAGGCTTTTCATTGTTAAATGAAGGTTCAAAACATAATACTTGTTTGAGAAAAAGAAAATAAAATTGTCCTGGGAGTGGATTATTTCACCGGCCATTCTCTTCATTTCCACACTTTACCTTAGGTCTATGCCACAACAATACATCTCCGGGTAAGAGCTTCTTAACACAGAGTCCGACATTTGACAGAAAGCCATGCTTCATTCTTAAAGGAAATACATATGCTTAAAAATGATACGTACAAAGTAAATTTATAGTGATTTGGGGAATTTTAATTGTCCCTTTTGTTGAGGCCAGAAGATTTATACACAATTCTAAACTTAATTCAAATGAAGAGTACACTTCTTTAAATGAAAGAATTAAAAAAAAATTGGATCTGAAAATCCTATGAGAACATGGGACCTAATTCTCAGGCAAACTGTTTTGTAAAAACTGTTAGGTGAAGAGCTAGAAATTGATTCTTTTTAACTACATCTTTGGGTATCCATGAAAAAGCCTTTCTAGAGAGGTGCTCTGTCCTCCACAACCACAAGTCCAGAAAGTTAAGACAGTTTTCTTTTCCGTTGGAAAATAATAGAGTTTATGTTTCCTTGGATGGCAAGATGTTTTCCTACCAGTTACTGCTTACTCTTGGTTTGCATTTGAAGATTAAATGAAGCAAGTTAAAAGTCTAAGACTGGAACCTGCTTTTTTAATTCTAGGTGATTTATCTAGTAATAATTCTTCCAATTTTTCTCACCCTCTTGGTATTTGAATTTACTAAATTTTGTTGTTTTCTCTATCTTTTTTCTCTTTGTCCAACATCTTTCAATTTTTAATTTTTCTTCCCAGCTGGTTCTTGATTTGTTGCCTATCTTCAGCCTACCATTGACGATTTTGTGTCACTACAGTCAAAAACTCAGTGATTGTTTTGATTTCTAAACTTTCCAGGTCCTCCACTTGAGAGCAAATATTTATTTTGACCAAATTGAAGGATGAACTCTACAAGCACTTCTTCTCAATTCTAGCCTCTATCCTTAAAGTATTTTTTGGTAACTTGTTGTTTAGTCCAGAGTACTGACACATTACTTTTTAACTGCTTAAAAGCATAAAAAGATCTAGTTCCATTAAAATTTTTAAAATTATTTAAGATTGCAGAATAATGAATAATTTTCAAGTAGGAATTTTCTATTTATAAAATTAATGACAGCAAAGATATTATTTAACTCATTCAATGTGAAAACTGGTTAATAAATTACAACTGGCTCAAAGGAGAATTCAACAGACATATTTATTCATATAG